CAGCGCTTATCCTAACTTATGGTTGAACACCAATCAAGCGTTCTGACAGATTCACCACGTTTCAAGTGCGTATTCTAGATTGGTTGAATGTCACCGATTGTCTACAGACGTGAACGCTGCAGATAAACGAGACAAGCCCTTAGTTCACCTCAGTTTCACACGGGATTTCTACCCCAAGAACATTCCAAGTCGTCTGATTAATAACTTATCTGATCGATCAGTACTTTATCCATTCATGTTATTCCTTTGCACTGTATTCGTCCAGTTGATGAACAGTTGAAAACGAAATTAATTGCCGTCCCATCCTTTACGTTCTTTCCCGAAATCCATTTTCATTGATGACACCGCGCGAACTAAACAGTAGGGACAATGAATCTGCAATTTACCAATATCTGAGTGTCTTATGAACAGTTCTAATCACGCCGAACCATTAAGGGTTCAATGACTGTGGGCTCATGCCGTTACTCATATAATGTCCAGTAAAACTAGGTCGGTGATAACAGGGAATTCCTCGTTTTAGGCAGGCTTGATAAGCCATCAGATACGGTGCTGGGCAACCTTTCGCTTTTGAGCCTAAAGCTTCGTCAAAAGTGAATACGTCATAAATTTGGTCAAGTATTAGTGGGGAAGCATTCGAAATCATCACGCAGCCCAGAGTGTAGAATAGGAGCGTGAAACAGGCTAGCTTGTGGAAAGCGGTTTCAGATCAGGCGATTTGAAACTTGCCAACTTGCTTTTACCGGTGGGAAAAAAGTCTACCACACAAAGAGCTTATGTCTAAAGTACAAAACTCAAGTTGACTAAACTTTACTCATTCTCCTCCACCCTCTAATCAAATCAAACCGGGAAAATAAGTGAGCCACGAGTAAGGGTGAACTCATGCCTTAAACCAGGAGACCAAACCCCAAAACGCAAATTAAGTCGTTATTATTCTCCCTAACCCAGCAATCGCAAGTTTTAGACAACCATACAAAAAAGAACCATTGACTAAAATTTAACCTTGATTTAATCTACTGGTTGAAAGAGATCTCGCTAATTGGTTCTCCGCTCAAATCAGAACTCGACGAACGTGATAATCGATCAACCTTACACAGCTCTCGTGTTAAATGAAAAAGCTGGTTCAACACAAAAAAACCCGCCGATTACTAAGACTTTCTGAAACGCTGACTCCTAGATCAACTTTAAACACTTTCCAGCTGACGGGACATTCCCGCTAAGAGAAACTGTGAATTACATGACTGTTTTGGGGATTCATTTCCACGTGAGGAAGAGCAAACATCGCCTCGTCAACGATGGTGCATCTTCGTGAAGAGTAGAGTATACGGTAACGCCTTAGTCAGGGTCTGTCTCAAATAAGTTACGCGCCGATAAAGAACAACACTGCGGTTGTGAAACAGTGGTAGGTCCTTCCACTCCGTTGAATTTCGTTTCGACTAGCCATTTATACCCTGAATGAAAACGACTCCCGATGATGACAAACTCGAAAGCCCCGTTGATGCATCTCCACGTATCTAGATACACTAAACAGAAAACAGTTGAAAATATTCACACTGAATGGATGCGTGACCAGATGGTCTGAATTCTACGCTACCTTTATGTTCGACAGTCAGGCCTTTTGTTGAAAGGCCCTTTTTAACACATGATCCCAGGCAAAAACCCGGAGGAGAAGGTTGAGGACTACTGGGCTGTGACGATGCTTGCAAAGTTCGACCAAACGCTGGTTGGACGTCCGATCTACTGTACGAAGCAAGCAAGATTAGTCAAGGAAAGGAAGACTGGTCCACTTAAAATACATCATTCCAAAGTTTTTAGATAGTAGACCGTAGTGAGAATGTGGAAGGAACTGATGCCGTTAAAGATAGTTTGTTGGATACCCTTTCGGCCTCTTACGTTAGGTACCAAGCCCTATCAAACACGATGAACCTGTAGAAGCCCTGATCATACCGAAACAAACCTCAACACGAGCTATTGACAACTCAAGAATCATTAAGGCGCCCACTATAAAGTTATGAGCAACAGAAGAACGCATTGTGATGAGAGATCAAATACTTGTACATAGCCAGATAGTAAAGTGAGATGAGTCGTCATAGGCGCGTTGAATAGGCAAACATAATCAATGAAGTCAGCAAGTAGCAAAACAAAACAAAACGAAACGAGAAAAGGTCAGATGACTGGCGGCCAGATTGTCGCGCAGTAGTGGAAGAGAAATGCTTTCGAATTGTGCAGTCTGATGCCATCCGATATGCACGCACAAATAAATGCCAGGATGTGAAAACACAACCAGTGAGTTGGTATGAATGTAAGATATGACCGGAAAATTAGAGCAGTTCTACAGTATGCGCGCCAGTGGGTCGCACAGCTGTTCATGATGGATTGAAATCATGGGGTCCATAGGAGGTTAACATGATTAGTTGGCTACGTGGATGTGTTTGCGATGAGAAGCAGACTAAGTGAGATAACAATGGTATAGCAATAGTATCAAATCACTTGGCAATGGAGGAGGTTTGTCAGATTGGTAGCTTAGACGGACGCTCATCAGCTGGTGCATAGACTAAAACAAGAATAGGCAAGGAAAAAATGTTGCATGGCATTCGAAACAATGAAAAAGATGCGGCGAACCGGTGTGAGTAGCTATGGAAACGCTCGATTTTGATTACATAACACACGAATCTGCATATAAACCGAATTGAATGACGTGCTGATTCCGCAATTTCTGTTCATCTTACGAGTGTTGTGCATTAGAGTACAGTCAAGTCAAGGGAGCGAGATGGCCCAAGTGGTTAGAGCGCGAATTTACTGATCGGAAGGTCCGTGGTTCGAATCCAACCTCCGCCTCTCGACTTCTCCTGTCTAGGCTTGGGCAACCTGGCAGTATCCCAGCCCTCGTGCTTCCTTCGCGTGGCATGGCAGCTAGGCACCGGAAGGGTGCTACAGCTGAACGCTTTTTTTTACAGTCAAGTCCCGATGCAGCACATGACCTGAGCCCCACCCAAACTCCCGTATGAATGAAATTTCATCAGTTTCACTTTGTCAGACACCGCTGTTGGTACCTGTACTCACATAGACCCCGGGCGTATAAAATAGCAGGGGTATAGTCACTTTCTTGCATAAGATTAGATTGCTTACGCTTCCTCATCCATTAAACTTAAGGGTGGCACCCCGATTCTCTCGATTTTATTGGGTCAGTATAACACGACTGGGTGCATTGCTCTTACAAGTGTTTCGCAGTTGTTCGAGCTGAGATTTTGGCTGGTGTGAACGTCATCAGCATCGTCAGAACCGGATGTTGGGTTGAATCTATGCTTTGTGCAATGGCACTCGGAAAATCCAACGCCAGGAAACAAGCTGATGTGGGTGACAGTAGTTTCCTAATTGAGCCCATTAATATGAACGCCAGTTTAGGACCAAATCAACATAAAGTTCGGGTAATTAGTGTCAATGGCAAATTGTAGCTGTTAGCAATCAAGTGTCCTATGTGGATGATGGGCTAAGATCGATTAAAATATATTGCAATGCGGACGTACTTTCTGGGGTAGTATGAGTATTTGGTGTATTTAGTGGTATTGATACAATAACTGAAGTGCCACCACGAGGAAAACGTATTTTGACATCCCCTGGGAAGCTAGAATTCATAGAAACTGTGATAACCAACAGGATCGTCCAAAACAATGGCTGAGTTCGTTTCCTATGGTCTATGCAGCACAACAGGTACTGATTTTTTTTTCAATTTTCACTACACATTTCCGTGTTGTGTCGAAGCAAAATTCCTAGATTATTCAGTGGACCAAAACGTACCTGTTAGCGCCAAATGTGAGTTCTGCGTCAGCTACCAACGCACCTTTACACGACTTCTGTTCACCCTCTAATTTCTCTTTGCACAGGCAGCGTCGTAAGTTAAAGTGGATCTCGATTAGTGACCAGAAGCCACAAAACTCTCCACGTCAGCTAGTAATAGATACCATTCGAGTATCAGATTCCGTCTTAGGTCAGGACAGTTCTGAAGTTCGATTTTCACTGTGATATCTTATAACACGCTTAACCGGCCCCCACAATCAAAACCTGTATGTGATGCGCGAATAAAGTAAGAGAACGATCCGCGTCGATGATCTACAGAAGTAGCACTTAGAATAATGAAGTCCGGCTTGATGTTCCCTATAGCAATGTTGTGATGGGCTGAAAATCAACAGAACAGTAGCAAAATATCTCTGATTATGAATTCGGGACGATTGTTAACATAAGTTTCCCAGTCTGGAAATCAGCAAACGGTAGACTGGGGCCCCTGAACTCAGAATTGTCATACAGCCAATTGTCATATGGACATGAACAATCAGGTCGATGACCTCGGGAGACAAACTGGGGATGGGTGGGCGTTATTGAAACAGGAAGTACGATGGGAACCTGGGAATATACATACGATATGGGCCTCATCAGAGAGTGGCCTCTCATTTGGGGCGGCTCTTTTAGGGGAGCTAATGTCATCTGGTACCTTGTGGCTGGCGTGGAAAGGGTGGCAACCTCCACTGATTGGACACAGAAGATTCAACAACCCAGATGAAGGGTTGTCCATGAACAAATCACGCCTTATAATCTCATCCGGTTATTCTGACCACTTCCATCAGATTTGCATTGTCCTTATTGGGTCTTTCATAACTGGCCACCAGTACAACATATTAGGATCATCAGCATTTCATAAGGGCTTTCTTGCAACGTTTCTCAGTCTAAAGAACAAACCAGTGGTTGAGTCTCTATAGACTACAACCTAGCTGTTACATCCTAGTTCACAACAACTTCCCAGTTACCGATGATCATCGGGGTTAACTTCAATACTGCTTTCCCTAAGAAAAGGGAAATGAAAATCAGAAACATCCTGTGTGGAATCCGGCTGACCTGCGGCTGTGTTATCTCGCTTCACCGCCTTCATTTTCGACACGGTTAATTGAACTACTGCGGTTGATCAACAGAGCGTAAAATTGCTTTGCCTCGCCAGCACGGGGCTGGGTCTACAGGGCATATCGATCCATGTAATGATGCATTGGTAGCATTCTGGCACGGGTAATCTGAAAAAGCTATGACCGAAAAATTGGCGTGTCGAAATGAAAAACACACAAACATGGAGAAAGTGTGTGTGGGAAACTAAAACTATACCGTTCAGTATGTAGTCCGTCAGCATGGGGGTGAGATTAGGATTGTTTGTGAGAATGGCCAGAAGCAGTTCGTTAAACACTTGCAGCTGTTCGACGGATGGTCCCTCTTCATACGGCGACCGATGATAAGGTATCGTAGTTGTTAAATTCTGAGAAAAGAGATAAGCAGATCAACAGGCATTGGCAAAAACAACCTGAAATATGTCTGGTAGGTGACGGGTAAAAAAATGAACATCCTGTGGTACCTGTTGGAAGCCTTGGATGTAAAATATGCAATAAATTGTGTGTAGACCACCAACATACATTGTCTAACACAGGACGTACAAAATGGTTCTTAGGATGATGAGTCCTAATCTTAACCTTCAAGAAGTTGTTCAACATGACTACAACACCACGATACCTAGTTCACTATCGTTAATTTTGGTATACTGATGAAACAATTCTTAACGTGCGATAGCCGCTCTTTACGATTCTCGCATGATTTAACCGACTTGACAAAGTGACGATACAAGTGATACCTTTTCCCTGATAAGGAATGAAAAATTCGTAGAGTCAATGGCATTCGCTTCAGGCTCCTAGCGCAACAGTAAGATGAGTCGATGATGCGTTTTATTGGAGCCTAGGTGAAGGTTTAAAATCTGCAGCCTCCCAATGATGAGCATGCGGTGATAGCTACTGCTTACCCATGGCTCCGTTGGACCGGTATGAAAGTGGGAATTGCTATTTGGAAGAAGGTAAACGTAACTTACGGTAAGTGTTGCATGTCAGAGTCTTCTGCGTAACTTCAAAGCTCAAAATGCACTCGATAGGGTCACTGAAGTAGGGTATGCCACTAAGCACCAAGCTTAGCTCTTGATCTTCAAATTTTTCACCGGGAACTTACTAAGCCATGTGAACTGCTTCATGTCTGGTGGGTGAGTAGACTGTAAGCCACCCTTCAGCATAGCCCTTTAAATCTATTCTTTTCAGTAGTGAAAAAATTGGTGAATGAGTTCATTAAGTGGCTCTTGTGAAGCGTTCGCTCCTCGGAGCTCGGCTGTATATAGAAAATGCAAGTTTTTAAGCCGATACCCAACACTTAGTAAAGCCTTACAGGGGCAACATATATAAACGGTTCAGTTGATATGTTCCCCATTGAGGCCTAAAGATGAATCACGTGACCTAGTTCATATCGAATAAGGCGAAATTCATCTGTAGAACTTACACTACGAAATTCACTTACTCCTGTCTGGATAGGAAGACCAGTGACGGGACGAGGTGAATTGAGAACGACAAAAGGGCTACGTATAACCCAGTATCAAAAAGCAGTGACTATCAGCAGAGGCGCGCAAAATTCACTTAATCAGAATACACGAGACCAGCGTATGAAAAGAAAGGGCATCTATACTGGACACCAGATCCACCTTCAATTAGTGTGACTTGATTGCCTTACCATAAATGTGCGCATTCAGTAAAGCAAATGTGCTCAGGTGTGCATTGAAACACGTAAAAAACCAACGCAGACAGAACAAAAAAAGCCACGTGCGACGTGCGTGTGGATGACAGAAGTATGGAGGATAGAAAATGCCCGCCCCGTTTGGTTGGAAAAACCTACCCGAATGGCTTACGCAACGTTGTGGTCGAAAACTTACCTCACTGGCCAAGGTAGTTATCGGAGGTCAGCACACACTAGGCACGAACTGAACGACCCACGGGAAAGTGGACAATTAGTGCACAAAATTCAGGTTGAGGTAGGATGAAACGAGGTGTTCCGCTTCCCGAAATGAACACAAATTTGCGTAGAATACGAATAATTTACAATTGTACCGCAGATAGGGTAAGACGGATACTTATAAGCTCAGTGCGACTGAAGCTATTGAGAACCAGCTAGATACTATGTATTAGGTATAGCAATAACGAAAAAACCATTGTGGAAATTTGCATTTGATGTTTTCGGAACTAGGGAGCTGATAAAACTCACCTTATACTCAAGAATGTCTGCACTAATCTCCTGATTTCCAACAAGATGGCCAGACGCAGAGTGAGTGAGTGTAGGTGGGATGGTGGGCAATTCGATTTGGGATGACGTTGGTGTTGTCACCGCTGAACGTGCCTCTCGTATGCACATCGGGACCATCCCAGAAGCAGCATCGCGTTTCGCGGTTCGGCGCAAGAGTGCGCGAAAAGAACCACTGGTTCCTGAATTCAAAGCCTCACTGGCTTTCCGACTGGCCCATTTGCGCAGGCGGACAATTGTTGCAGCCCTTGACGAATTTACTGTAGGATGGGGAGCAGACTTGCCTGAAGAGCTATTATTGCTTCGACAAATACGGGAGTTATGCAGATCCATTCGCTCGTAAGGGTTGCGGACAGAATTCACGGGACACTGATCCGAAAGTAGATTTTGCTCAACGCTATTCAGTTCGTCCGGACCACGACTTAGTCGATGCCATTGGCGTTTCAGTAGAGCTGTGGCTGAGGTAGCCGCGGCGACAGCAGCGTGTGCAGCCGATTGTGCACCTATGTTTGACAAATGGAGGAAGTCATGGATCTCATTAATGCTCACGGATTTTCTACAATGAGTTTTGAATATCAAGTAATCATGTTAAAGATTGAACGACAATGCGACCACTTTCGCCCAGAGGCGAAAGTCACCATTTCCAAAGCTGTGGAAGAATTTGTACGAAAAATTTGCAAACATTCATTAAAGGAGTTCAACAAGCTACAAATGAAATTCCTTTCTGTGTGTGCAGAAAGCACATTTTACTAAATATACGCCCGAGAGCAGTTAGTGCAACTTGGAATGTCTGGTGCACAAAACTAAATCAAAATACCAGTGAGGCCACCGAAGGTAAAGCTGGGAGAGCAATATACAACAAGGACCAGTGCCTTGATCGCTGGGCTAACTAGGACATCGAAAATTGTCCCCTGTTCTAGCATACAGTTCGCAGCTTCAAAGTTCAAGATCCTCCCTCAGGCTTTCTCACTCCAAAATGCATCTCTAAAATTCAAAAGTAGTTTCAGTTTGTTGATGGGGTTATTTATCTCGACAGCTGCATCAGCCGTAACCCCACTGTGACAACTTTACAGTCAACGCACGCATCATCAAGGCACAAGTAATATCTGCAAAATTACGACCTGTTTGGAGTCAGAAACAAATATCACTGAGGTCGAAACGTCGTGCGCACAAAATGACCATGACAGCAGTTCCACTCTATAGCTTTGAAATTCGGCCTGAATATCTCAAGCATATTCACGTATTCGATCACCGATTTCTCTGCAGTAGAAGAGGTCTTAACTGACCTCAGCATATACATAATGAAACGGTCCGTGAGCGGCGAGTCCGTAAATTTCTGCTCGAGCAGCAGATAAAGCTGATCAAGTTAGGGTACTTGAAGCATGTATTATGTATGTCCAACCAACGTCAAACAAAGAGAAACTTAAAAACACACATTTGCATACCAATTCGGTTTTGACGGGATACTCATTTGGAATCCAGGTGATTTTTTAAGCAACTGAATGTGCTGCACCTGGCCGCCTCGCCTTTCACTTGATACGATATTCGAGATATCTAGATAGATGTGTAGACGTAATACACTACTCCCGTCAAAACCAAACTTTTAAGCAAAGGAGTGAATCCGCTAATTTCGTGCAACTTGGGACCAAGCAGAACATAAGGTTCAAACTACTAGCCGGGAGGTCGCGGGTTCGAGACTCTTCGGAGTTTCGTGAGATGCGCACTGCTGATGATTCCCAATAAGGATGAAACAGCTGTACAGTGCTTCTCGGTCTTTCAGCATAGATTGGCTTCACTTACAGGACGAAATCCCACACAAAATATCCCAAATCTCCTCACACTACCCACAATATATAAGGTAGTCGGAAACTCGGGGACTGTGTCTATCTCATTAGCCACAAGAAGGGCGAAACCGGTCGTGGACTGTCGACGAATTTTCAGAAACCTTATGGGTAGTGTATTAAATGGACGAAGAGAAACTTGTATTCCACAGCAAACTGTTGTTGGCAAACGGCTCGGAGGGGACAGACTATGATGTGGTAAAATGCGATGCGGATGGTTCTTCTCATTTTGAGAGCGGCAAGATCTTTGCGCCCTTCTGGATGTAGTAAGGCGATCACCCTTACACATGGCTGGAAATCCTGCAGGACATGGCACATACGCGAACCCAGTAGCGAATTTACTGTCACTCCCTAGCAGAACTACCTAGCTCATACTTGTCTATCGTTGTAAGCTGGACTTGTGTTGGGTGAGGTGCGCAAGGGATGTTCGGTCGATCCCGCTGACGATTCACTGCTCCAACACAATGTTCAGATATGTTTGATATTTTTTACATGTGGGTATCTCTTTCTTGGATGTTTTATCGAGGAACATAAGGCTTTTGTAATAATTGCCCATGCCTGTCCTTTTCCCTCACCTTTTACAAAGGACTTTTTCCATGGTTGTCTAGCAGTTGAACACCAGTTTCACTAGTGTTGCATTGCACCACATAATGACGATGAGGACCCTCAGTCATCGAAATTACGCTACTTTCCCGGTGAACAATTAAAAATTCCACGCCTACGAATGTGATTCGGAGGGTCGCGACGTGGGACAGACGATGTGCGAAGTTACCCTCAGAAAATAGCATACGGAAATGTTCGTGACTTCATTTGTCTTCGATGACACTGCCATCCTTACGTCGACCACCGTAGCTGTGCTGTCCTATGAGGTCTTTGAGAATGAAGCTCGTGACTTTCATTTCATTTTTAGGGTAGGGAAGCGAACATCAAAAGCCTGAGCTAGACAACTAGAATACGATTCACATAACCGGTTTTTTTGTCAACCGATTAGGCGATAATTGCAAAACCCAGACCAACAGTAGTGGTATTCATGCTCCGTGGTATGTCTCGTGATTCGCCATATTGCACACAAATCATAAAATCACATTTCTGTAAGAAAATTTCAATTATCTAACTTATTAGGCATGGTGCGGTATGCAGCCCAGAGGTAACCAGTAGAGTTGGATCCAATTTTTAGACACCCTGCTTCAGGATTTCTAAACAACAACCTATTGTTACACCTTTAATTCTGAAAAAAGCAATCCGCGTTGGGGAGTAGTAGGTCAAAATTGCTTAGCTTTTTCAGTCTCATTCAGGAGGTTTGACAGGTTGCCCACCAGCCTGGCAGCAAGGTTAGTGACACCGATGGTGTACATAGACGGGAGAAAGGGAACAATTTGGAGGGCACTGTATTCAGTATCTATAAATGAAGGGAGAAACAATATGGAAGCACGCAACAGACAAATCTCAAACCACTCATGAAAAAGTGCGCAGTCCGCACTTCAAGAGTCCATGCAGGCATGTGAATCTAAATAATCCAGACAGAATTGTTCACTTATGGTACCATTGGAGGCACAGGTGCCATGCAACCCGGAAACAAGAACTGAATTTTGTCAGGAGTCCCGAACACCAGCAGGACCAATGGACTGAAACTTTCTGCCCTGAACTATCTCGAGGTTAGGTAAACCCGCAGTGCTAGAGGCTACTGGTAAATAAAAAAAATCGTCCAGCTGTAGCACCCTTCCGGTGCCTAACTGTCAGGTTGCCCAAGCCTACACAGGGGAAGTCGAGAGGCGGAGGTCGGGTTTGAACCACGTACCTTCCGGTCAGTAAATTCGCGCTCTAACCACTTGGGCCATCTCGCCCCCAAATAATACAGCAGTTGAGTAGAGAGAGAAACTGAAGAACAAGGCGCTACTCCGAATTAAGGTGCCGAAAGATAGTTGACTCACGTGAGAGTACAGGAGCTGGACATTTTTGTCCCCCAACAGGTCTGTCAGTGTGACCCACTACTGACGGACTACTGAAATCGCTCGCTTCGAATTCGTCGTTCCCGTGTTCATAGTCAAAAGGTTTGACAGTGTCCATCACCGTAGGATTCAGTGAACTACTGATAGGAGGCATACTGCAGCGACGTCGCCTTCTTTCGAGTCGACGAAGCATTTCATCTAGACGAGCAATAAATATGTCTTTTTGTTCCTGCTCAAAATCCAGTTCTTCCCGATAAGCTAATTCTTGGACCAACACGGCCGAATATTCCCGCACACATGCTTCCAGTTCTTCCAACAACGCGTTCAATTGATTCAGGGATAGATTTTCTAGATCTACAAGAAAACAAAGCCGAAAGAGTGAGTTCGTTTCACTTTGCTCACCCGGAAGCAGCTACGGCTTCATGCAATAATGAGATCATTCTAATTAGATTATTGAATCCTATGAAGAAAATCAATACCAAATGAACAGAATGATGGGAGAAGTGAGATAAGTTTTTTTGTTTTGATGAGAAACTTATGTGCGTTTGTGCGTCAGGGTGAACATAGCAGGAAACCAGAGGCCGAGAATGGGTGACGTCTTCATTCTCCCATGGAGAAAAGAAGTACAGAGCTGCTCGTAAATTTTTCCTCACTGGAGTTCAACAACTTCAGCAGCACACCACCCCCCTGTGCATGCACGCGCGCAAAAGTCAGTGCTTTGGATCGCGCGATTGTACTGGGAGATGATATCAGCCAAAGATAGAGACCGTTTTTATTGTTCTCCATTAAATGTGAAAAAAAACGAAAAAAGTGGTGCAGACAGAAGAACAAATGGAATATGAATATCCAATGAAACTGCACTTGAATGCCACGGAAAACAATGGTTATTTGGTAAAAGGTAACCGCCATTATCAGGTTGGGATTGACGATAAAAAATTGAAAGGACGGGATTGATCTATTGCGCTAGGTTGAGTAAGACTGCTTCCAAAATCTTTAAAGATATTTCCAGAAAACTGATGCTACAGTGGAAGAAAGGGAAACAGCCAACACTGTTCGGAGACATTTATAGTAATTACCTAGCCTAGTAAGTTAGCTGTTGATCACGTGGTAGTGGATGCGTTCACCGAGCCTGGCCGTTGTGTTGCAAACGTTTCATCATCGTCAGTGCGCGGTTAGTCGGCTGGGCGATTCATCTAATTCTGCATGTGTTAATAATTTTTAAACAGTAGCTTATATCTACAACCCTTGGCGATTGGCTAGTGTGTAATTTGATTGATCTATTTGAGATGTGTGTTCCTCCATGGTCAGATCTTCCGGCTCCTGACCGGCCCATATTGCACCTCTGTGTGGTGCAAGTTCTATTGGTTATTCTGTTAGATCTTCTGATTAACTGATTCGCATTCGACTCGAGTGTGCATTACAGTAGTGTCAATTTTAACCGATAAGTTTCGCATCCTACTATTAGCTCCCATTAGAAACCTTCATGACCCGAACGGTTCCTAAGATCACTCCAGTAGACTTAAGAGAACCCTAGTTAAGGGGCGCTGATGATCCCACAACATTAGGTTCGATATCAAAGATTACATCATATTGTCATGATAACGATGGCCGATCGCATATATGGCACTATCGTCGGCTAGCTTAATGTGGTGAACCTTGTTCATGATCCCCGCTCATTATCTGACGACAGACATGCTCAATAAACCGTCCGTCCGCTCATCATCATCATAGACACCATGACATCAGTGTTCAACACGGATGGTTTTACTTGAGAGCCTCATTGTGGAAAGAATAAAAATGGACGGGGAAGGGACTTGTTGCTGTCTTATTACAATTCCTCCGAGGTGCCTACACCTCATTCAAGTAATCTGCATATAAACTGACAACACAAATGTCATTGACATCGATTAGCAGACATATCTTGCTGCGTCTCCAACAAGGCACAGTGGGGATCGCTCGGTCTCCACACGAGCTGTAGCCCTCAGACAACGATTGTCGAACACCTGAAGACGTCTCCATTCCGCTGCTCGAACACGACTGGTCTCAAGGCTATACAAGAAAACAGCCCGGATTGTACCTTGAAACACACATCCCTTGAGATTTAAGGATATACCACTTTGACGCCACAGGTGTCTCAAATTAGCAAATGCGACTCAAACCTTACAGATTCGTGCACTGACCTCATCTGTCACACTACAATCAGGACTAACACAACTTCCAAAATACGTAAAACGCTCCACAACTTCGAGTGCTACCCCTTGGATTGTAAGTGGCGTGTTCAGTGACCGCATGTCCAGGAACATGACCTTACACTTTGTGGGTGCAAAATGCACACCAAAGGAATGGATGACTTTGGTCAGCCTCTCTCATGGAATATGAATATCCAATGAAACTGCACTTGAATGCCACGGAAAACAATGGTTATTTGGTAAAAGGTAACCGCCATTATCAGGTTGGGATTGACGATAAAAAATTGAAAGGACGGGATTGATCTATTGCGCTAGGTTGAGTAAGACTGCTTCCAAAATCTTTAAAGATATTTCCAGAAAACTGATGCTACAGTGGAAGAAAGGGAAACAGCCAACACTGTTCGGAGACATTTATAGTAATTACCTAGCCTAGTAAGTTAGCTGTTGATCACGTGGTAGTGGATGCGTTCACCGAGCCTGGCCGTTGTGTTGCAAACGTTTCATCATCGTCAGTGCGCGGTTAGTCGGCTGGGCGATTCATCTAATTCTGCATGTGTTAATAATTTTTAAACAGTAGCTTATATCTACAACCCTTGGCGATTGGCTAGTGTGTAATTTGATTGATCTATTTGAGATGTGTGTTCCTCCATGGTCAGATCTTCCGGCTCCTGACCGGCCCATATTGCACCTCTGTGTGGTGCAAGTTCTATTGGTTATTCTGTTAGATCTTCTGATTAACTGATTCGCATTCGACTCGAGTGTGCATTACAGTAGTGTCAATTTTAACCGATAAGTTTCGCATCCTACTATTAGCTCCCATTAGAAACCTTCATGACCCGAACGGTTCCTAAGATCACTCCAGTAGACTTAAGAGAACCCTAGTTAAGGGGCGCTGATGATCCCACAACATTAGGTTCGATATCAAAGATTACATCATATTGTCATGATAACGATGGCCGATCGCATATATGGCACTATCGTCGGCTAGCTTAATGTGGTGAACCTTGTTCATGATCCCCGCTCATTATCTGACGACAGACATGCTCAATAAACCGTCCGTCCGCTCATCATCATCATAGACACCATGACATCAGTGTTCAACACGGATGGTTTTACTTGAGAGCCTCATTGTGGAAAGAATAAAAATGGACGGGGAAGGGACTTGTTGCTGTCTTATTACAATTCCTCCGAGGTGCCTACACCTCATTCAAGTAATCTGCATATAAACTGACAACACAAATGTCATTGACATCGATTAGCAGACATATCTTGCTGCGTCTCCAACAAGGCACAGTGGGGATCGCTCGGTCTCCACACGAGCTGTAGCCCTCAGACAACGATTGTCGAACACCTGAAGACGTCTCCATTCCGCTGCTCGAACACGACTGGTCTCAAGGCTATACAAGAAAACAGCCCGGATTGTACCTTGAAACACACATCCCTTGAGATTTAAGGATATACCACTTTGACGCCACAGGTGTCTCAAATTAGCAAATGCGACTCAAACCTTACAGATTCGTGCACTGACCTCATCTGTCACACTACAATCAGGACTAACACAACTTCCAAGATACGTAAAACGCTCCACAACTTCGAGTGCTACCCCTTGGATTGTAAGTGGCGTGTTCAGTGACCGCATGTCCAGGAACATGACCTTACACTTTGTGGGTGCAAAATGCACACCAAAGGAATGGATGACTTTGGTCAGCCTCTCTCCCCTCTTCAAAGACGAGAATGATATCGTCTGCATATTCTGGATCGACAACGATTTTGTCACAGGCTATTTGAACACCGGGGTCTGGAAAACCTTCGAGCGTTCGTCTCATTATCTCATCGATCACGAAATTGAATAAGGATGGAGAGAAAGGACACCCTGATGGACACCAACTAGTGTACGGAAGCTTTTGAAGAGCTCACCGTTTACTCTCACGTCCGGAAGTCTGAGAATACAAGGAACGTATTATGTTCACAAATTTATAGGTCGCTTGTACGTACGTTTTAGTACAAAGAGGAGTGCGAAGATCTGGTCAACGCAACCCCAACAAGCCAGAACCCCGTTTGTTGCCCTTGAGTGAGTGCCTCACGAGCCACCGTAAGGCAACGAAGCAAAAGTGACGCCGGCAGTCTGGTTACAACCTGGGATAAGCTGATGCCCCTGCGGTTACCATACTCACTACGTGCCCCTTTTTGAAAATAGGCTGACTGACTCTCCCCAGTTTTCTGGGACAGTCTTCTTTTCCCAAATGCAGGCAAACAGATCAGACAAGCACTGACCTAGAATTTCACCCCCATCTTCGAACAATGGAGGTTCGAGATAATCGGGCCAGAGGCTCTGTGGCACTTGGAATAACATGTGCAGTAATAAACCTCCGATGCCGTAGCGGAATTCACGCTCACCGTGCGGGATTCTATGACAACTGTGGGCTCCAGATGAGTGTCACCTGGCGGCCACGATAGCTGTTGTCCGAAGTATTCGGCCCACCGGCCGAGGCGTTCTTCTTTATCCATGGCCGTTTATTGCGATTAGTCAAACAGGGGAACGATAAGTCGGTTGAAATATTAACGAAATTCCCACTCACATTGCGAACAATACTGGCGCGCTCATCGTGGGCCATCTCCGTCTGTTGGGTTTGTGTTTCTGGATACTGCTGCACACGAGGACACCGGAATATGGTGTGGGCGTATTCGCTCGATTGTCCCAGATGTCCCTAATCCGTTGGGCCGCACTACAGGACCATGTAAACATGCACCTTGATGGAACACTCCCGAAGCCACTGACTGTCCGTTCCGTTCCCGTATTTCTGTGGATACACTTGGTCGGGACAAATCCCTTGGGGCAAGTCGATTTGCCTGAAGCCAACTCCCACTTAGGTGGTGGCTTTTTCTAACATGAACACATCCCTACAACATTGACACGGTGCTGGATGACACATTAATCCACTGTGAATCTGATATTGTTTGATGATTTTTACAACTCTCCGAAGATAGGTATGATCATCCGTTTCACTAAGCGAGCATGAATATGTAAAATATTAAAACAAAGTGCCTTAACTATTTACGTATTCGATGTAGGTGGATGGAATCGCACATGACAGCAACAAATTCAAAAGGACATCGACAACACCATACCTGATTCAGAAATCGGACTTGCATCAATGGCTACGCCGGAGAGGGGCGCATCGCCGTTAGGGGATGGCTCTCCAAACGAAGGAAGAAGGATGTCTTCATCATGTCCCTGAGAAAAGTAGTGGTCCGTTTAGGAATAACTCACCATAATCAAGTCGATTTCACGAATCACTTCCTCTGCTGTTTTGATGGGCTCATTTTCATCATCGTATGTATCTGGAAGCTGAGATGTTATAAGTGAGTGATGATCAAAAGCAAAGGCAAGGTCCTCGTCCTCCGGCAAATCAAGGTTCAATCCATTCGGCTTCTAGTAAATCATGTAAGGAGAGTGATAGAAACGCACTTGTTCTGAATCCAAACTCAAAGAATTAATGAATTCGCGAAAAAGAGTGCTCGTGCGCCAATCAAACGGGTCAATCGCAGGTAGAAAATCCAACATGAGCCGCAAACATCTAAGTTAACCTTAAAAAGAGCACCAACTACAGTCCTACCCAGGAGCGTGTGTCTGGTGGACTGTGTTATGGGAGTTGAGTGTCTCGTCAAAATCCAGGTCCGGGTGTAATTGAAAACATTTTTCCAGTTCACATTCAAATGCACTCCCCAGATTTAATGCATGTAAACTGGATAAAACAGTATCGGCTTCGTCATGCTCTTGCAAATTGGTTTCACCGTTCAACATCCAAATGGAGTAAGTCAGTGTGCTGGAGTTAACAAAAAAGCAATAAGTTTGGAAGAGAAGGGTACCTTTCCGGATCCAACTGCTATTTCAATATCAAGGAGTTAGAAATCTATATTTATGGGTGCAGTTTTTCAAAGAATGGATTAAGATTGGCTTAATCGTCAAAACTAAAATCGGTTTTATTGGATTTTTTTAAGGAAATCAAGTGTCTCATCAGGGTGAATCCTCATCACCCGAAAAGTAGCACTCAAACAACATACCAAGGGGGAACTATTTCTATTGCACAGCAAAAATATAGATCAGTTGGGACCAGTTGACTCCAGAAAACAGGGTTTCAGTAGCTACGGTGGAATGGAGTAAAATTGCCTATTTGGAAAACTGTCTGCTTTCTGGAAGGGCGCGGCTTGCCTTTTCTGGAAGGAGTAATCAGTGTGTATGTATCAAACTCCGATAAAAAAATGGGTGTTACGGGTGCGGATTATATCCTGAATATGAGAACAAGACAGAACTGCACACAATGAATAGCGCCTTACTTGTCGAACAAGTGACGCACATAAGCTGGAAGTAAAGGCGAAGCATGATTGACATGAAGCGTGATAGGACAGGCATGGAGATAGTGACAAAGGATAGTCGTGACATTCACCCTGGCCGTTGAGTGCTTTTCGGGAGTAGCACGATACACATATATAAAACTGAGCTACTGAAAAAAGCTAAACATACTGGTAGCATAAAACAAAGGTCGTATGGATTACACAAGACGAGGTAGTAACCTTTACCCGGAAGAGAAGCTGTTTCCCCCATTAACCCCATTACTGGAAACTGAACTGAACCTGAACCGGGCGCCGCAGGTTGTCAACCTGTAATGACGTGAAAATCTAAATCCTTGAACCACGTTTTTACTGCCCCTTTGGCCTCGCGACTTGTCTCTAGCTGCCAGGTCCGTGGTTCAAACCCAACCACGGAATCTCGACTGATCCTGTTTGGGATTAAGCGACCTGGCAGCATCTCAGCCCTCGTACAAACTTCGGTTGGTATGACAACTATCCACGTTACAGCTGAACTTCATTATTCAAAGAGGCTCTCCTACCAGGTTGTTCAACGGATGTAAGCTTGGCAAGGTTTCTCGACCCTTCAGATTATGGATTAACATATGTGTGGTAACTTGTCTCCTGGTAGTTACACTGCCGTATTAATTTTACGCCCATCACCACTGCCTTATGGTCGGGCTTTAGGACGTAGGTTCGGGACCCCAATAATCTTCCTGCCTAAGAGTGGGCACCCAGAGGATTTATCAGTCCACGTACGAACACGACGTCCACACACGACGTTCCACATCGGCTGTTGTGTCGTGACATCAGCTGATTTGCTTTCTACGCCTCATACATTAGGGCGCATGAATGAAAACATTCAACTGCTGAGCCGTCCCATCTTTCTTCACTACCTCATAACTCCCGACTTGTCCCGCTCTAAAAAAGATCCCACCTGCAGGCACGTCAGCTAAGCACCTAGGAACTTGACACAACGCACGACCACCGTCGATACTTATCATTCCGTGCCGCAACCGGTCACATCCGTCGCCTCATGGTGTCATCAACCCGATCACCTTCGTTGCTGCAAACGACAGGACGGGTAACCTAACACAGACTAATGTTGACAACACCGTTATCATTACCCCTCATAGAAACACTAGATGAGATCTGGTGCTTCACTCTAACACGACCATGTCAAATTAGTTGAATAAAACCTTACAATCCAAAAAGGAAGGAAACTGGGGCAGGCAGGGGATCTAGAGCCAGTGCTTGCGTGCGTCTGGTTGGACTGTGCCACAGGCGAAATTTCCACCACTATGCAAAGACGTGGCAACCTCGCCCCAGTATGAATTCACATCTGATTGTGGAGCATTTGAAAGACTCTAGAAGACGGTTCTGTCTAATATCCAAAGCTGCCAGTCTTTCAGTTGCCAAGCGATTAGTCCGCACCTTACGCGGCCCTGGAAAACGTAGGAAGAAGCGACTACGGACGAGCGCATGGTCCAGATCCACAAATATGTTCCAAAACGATCGGCGGTCAGTTATTGATCCACACCATCGGTAACTTCCTAATTGATTTCAGATCCGCTAAGCCTGCCCAATTGTGCATTCAAATCTTCGGCAATCACCACGATATTTGAGCTTTTATCTCGCCGAAATAAAACATTCAGGGCGTCATAAAAACTATCTTTGACGGCGTTGGAAATAGTCAGTTGGGGCGCATGCAGACACGATGAACAGACAGCGATCAACTTCTCCCTTGTGAGACTATTTCACAGACGTTTTCAGACGAACTGTATCCAGTCAAGCAAGGATGAATCGGCCTGGTAACTCAGGACGATACCAATCCCTGCACATACCGCCACAGCAGCCTCTGGATCACCAGAGATGCGCAGCCGAAATCGAGTGGAGACTGGTGGGGCAGTTAGCTCAATCACTGTGCTTGCATCTTGAATTCTAGTTTCTGAGACAGCACACATCAATGCCAAAAGAGTCCAGTGTGAGAGCAAGAACAGCTGCTTGCCTCAGAGTGCGGACATTGAAGGCGGCCAGATAGACTGGTTGTCAAGGTTTGAAGATTGATTTGGAGATGCCTGAGGCGCCATGTGACGAGCAGATGCTGCACGTAAAACCGATGCATGACGGAGTCATCAGTCCTAAGTGCTGGGCCTGCAAGGGGAGAGTTACTAATGGGGTGAGGAGAGGGAGGGGGAAATGTGTGAAAGATAAGGAAGGGAGGCGTCAGAAGTAGCCTGTTTTCGCTTACCAGCCCTGCTGTATACAGCGAATAAGGCGGCCAGGCTGATGGCACCACGCGACGGCCAATGTGGCATGAGTTTGTTGGACGCATATATCATGGTCGTACATGGGTCGAGATAACGTCAGGCTAGATGGCGAGATGGCCCAAGTGGTTAGATTGCGAAGTTACTGACCGGAAGGTCTGTGGTTCGAATCCGACTTCTGCCTCTCGACTTCCCCTGTCTAGGCTTGGGCAACGCGACAGTATCCCAACCCTCGTGCGTCTTATTAGTGGCAAGGAAGTTAGTCGCCGAAAAGGTGCTACAGGTGAACGGATGTCAGGCTACCCACACCTAGACAGGAGGACGATTAGGGTCCGCAACCAAAGTCTTTGGCTCAAAAGCCTAACCGCAAGGCAGCGGTGTATGGCGGAGAATGCAAATGCATTACTATTTCTACGGAACATTGTTCGGCTGTAACACCATTCCGGTGCCCAGCTGACATGCTACCCGAAGGAAGCACGAGGGCTGGGATACTGCCAGGTTGTCCAAGCCTAGACAGGGGAAGTCGAGAGGCAGAAGTCGGATTCGAACCACAGACCTTCCGGTCAGTAACTTCGCAATCTAACCACTTGGGCCATCTCGCCATCTAGCCTGACGTTATCTCGACCCATGTACGACCATGATATATGCGTCCAACAAACTCATGCCACATTGGCCGTCGCGTGGTGCCATCAGCCTGGCCGCCTTATTCGCTGTATACAGCAGGGCTGGTAAGCGAAAACAGGCTACTTCTGACGCCTCCCTTCCTTATCTTTCACACATTTCCCCCTCCCTCTCCTCACCCCATTAGTAACTCTCCCCTTGCAGGCCCAGCACTTAGGACTGATGACTCCGTCATGCATCGGTTTTACGTGCAGCATCTGCTCGTCACATGGCGCCTC